GATTTTCTTAGTTCAATCTTAATTGAACCCTCCCTAACTGTGGCTTGTCTAGTAAAAGAAATATATTGAATGATATTGCTTTCCAGTAATTGCATCCAGGTTATTTTTAGCGCATTTTCTCATTTATGGAAAAAAATGCCCTATTGTGCTCGTCATGTCCGTCTGTCTATCCGTCAGTCCGTGCCTTCACGTTTTCGTCGATGAGAAAATGCGTTCTCTGTGACTCACTGCAGTGAGTACTGAGTTATATTTTTTACCTAATGCTTGAAGTCACGCATATTCTGTTAAATTATTCATTCTTCTTGAGGCTCTTTCCGTATCCAGGGATGACATTCGTAGGCCTTCAGCAAGACAGCGACGGCGTCTTCCGTTGGTCGGACGGCAGCGTGCTGGACCAGACGATCTACGGCATCACGAGTCCGCCCAAACAGAACAGCGGCACGGAATACTACGTGATTCACAGCGGCAACTTTGACGACGTGCCATCCACGACCATGTCCTTCTATTGCACATGTCAAGGGATTTTCACCAACGTCTATTAATGCAAGCTCTGCAATACCGTAGTAGAAACAGGCAAACACGAAACTCTGGCTGTACAGTTTACACATATCGGGCTTATGTTCCACCTGAAACAAGGACACTTTCCAACCTAACTGGCATATGCTCCACCTGAATTTTATTTATTTTAAAAATTTAAATGATCAACATGGTTTTTCTACACGTCCGGAGCACCACTCTTTAAGAGAGTAAATGCATTAATCCCCATCAACTCGGCATGGCTATTTAGGACCGGAACCTACGGTGATGAATGGAGTAACGCGATGTAAGATCACCCTCTAGTATTTAGTATCCATTCATTCGATGTCATTTTACGGGCAAAGATAAATTCAAGACTAACCATTTCAACCAACAAGATAAAGACTTTGTGTACAGATCACCACAGTATGATATCCATGCTGATGGGGATTTATTGGCTTTGTTCATAAACCTCGCCCGTAGTTAGCATCTGCCGGTCTATATATTTAATTCTGAATTTGAAATTCACTGTTTTCTTGCACAATTTATATTCCCTTGCACTGAATAAGATTTCAGCGTGATTTTCACCAGCTTGCATTGAAAAAAAAGTTTCTTCTAACATGATCTTTTGATTTTTTTTATAAAATAGCTATTAACTCATAAGAGGGCATTAATTATAGCAGCAGTACACAAGATTCCCGGTCCAAAATTCTTAAATTTTTTTACCTAAGCCAAACATCATGATGCTTCAAAAGCTCAGTGTTATCAATTATATGAAACGTCATATCCGAGCACCATTTCCATCAGTGATAATCCACGCAGGTAATTTCAGTGAAATAAACTCAATATCTGAAGCACTGCAATAATAAGTTCGTATAGTCTACCGATAAACAATGATTAAAGATCATCGTCGTGGTCTAAGCATTTAAGTTTTGCTCACTTTTTCTGCTAAAGGTTGACACGACTTGCAAGTTAACCAATGGAAGGTTGGTTGCACTCGTGACCGTCATACCAGGTATCTAGATGAATTAATTTTTCGAACGTAGCGGCCATTTTCATTACAACTCATACAAACATCAGCACTTGCTTTTACACTAACAAACTTGAGTTTGCGTTTGAACATCAGCACTAACACTTGAGTTTGCGTCAACAATAAGCATACAAATGAAAAATTCTATAAATTTGTTTATTTTTCGAAGGAACATTTGACCATAGAAAATAACCCGATGACGAATATTTTCCAAAATCTCAGAGCAGCAACAACTGTTTTAAATGAAGAATGTTTGATCCAAATTTGAGCAAATCTAAATCTTAACTAAAGGTCTGCTCTCACCACAAGCATAAAACTGGCATACTCCGGGGAATTTTTAAATAATTTACCTACTCGCAACGGTCATTTTTAAAGGTGATCAGGTAGCAAATAGCGAATTAAAGTTCCGCGCCCCAGACAGTTGGACATTTTTCCGTTTAAAAGGACTCTGTTAAGAAACTTATTTCTGCAACAGCATAGACAGACTTTCTTACTCCTTTCATTCCTTTTACCCTCAAATTGTGATGCTGTATATGTAATGTAGTAACAACTCTCCACTGTTTCGTTGGAGCATTCTCATTATTTACTTATAAATCGCTCTTTTTTCTATTCCCTCATTTCATTCCTTTAAATTTTCTCACATGAAGTAAAAATTTTTTTCCACTAAATCATTACAAATATATGGCTTTAAATGTTACCTCCTCACTTCTTGAAAGACCGCGTCTATACTTTTCCGAACTCACCCGCGAACTCGCCAGCGGACTCGAACGCGAAACACAGATTTGCAGTTCATAAGTCTTACTATATGAACGGATCTTCATGAAATTCAGAACATTAGTAATGTATATCACAACGACTGGATAGGAATTATGTATTATAGATTTCTGCGACATTTTTCAGTTTGATAAAACGAAACTTTATATAAACATTTTACTAGGTTAGTTTTGGTTACTTCGATTACTCAATATTTCTAACGTAAAATATTATGAGGTTCTTTAAACCTTTTTTATGAATGAATTTTTTATTGATTTCGATGACGCATTAAGTCAATTTCATATTTGGATGCAAGAATTGTGGAAGAAATTTTTCAGATTATTGTGAATCCGGAAGTTTATTGGATTTAAATTGTAGACTGAGTTATCAGAGACTGTAAAGATTCGTATTTATCGAATTTAACTTGACAAGTAAAAAGTAAATGTGTTAATTACTCCTAAAACAAGATAATTATTTTATTCAGTAATTACGTCACTTCCGAATAAAAAATAAATCAAGTATTTAACCACAGCAATACATATATCAAAAATTTTAGGATTCTTCTTTCATACTATGAAATACAAATCCCGTTTAGAGTATCAAATCTGAATCATGTGGATGTGATAAATTGTCTGAAGTTTTAAATAAAATGAGCTAGAAAACCATATGCCGAATTTTTCACTTAGAAAATAAATTTGAATAAGACCACTAGAAATTTAAAAGCGAAGAAAACACCACAAAAATTCAGCATATCTCTATTAAAAACGTTTCGGAGACCAGCTCCATCGTCAGTTCGATAAATCTAGAACACAAATAAAGTCAGAAAATTATTAAAGTTTGGAGTAAGTAAGACACAGAAGATAAAAACCTAAATTTACAGACAAGGGGCAGAATAATAAAGTAAGTACCTATCTATTCACAATTTCTAATAGATAAGAACTATAGGCAACATTTAATCTAGGCTTCTCTTTAAAAATATACAATGATTCCAAAATACATACGCAGATCAGAAGCACCAGAACACTAAGCTAAAACCTTAAAGTCAGTGTCGGACACTGGAACGTTACACTGTTGGGCGTGAGTGCGCACAACCGAATGAGGAGGGCGCGATAGTAACTGCCCAGTCCGATAGTAACTCCCAGCGCGATAGTAAATGCTCCCTCTATGCTCTGCGACCCTAGTGTAAAAGTTGCGTGCCGTCATCCAAACGTACGCAGATGCTCCCTTCTCACATGCGATCGTCCCTAGTTTAGAAATTTTGTTGTGCACGATGTGCATCTGCGTACGCAGTTACTATCGCGCCCTCCTCATTCGGCTGTGCGCACTCACGCCGAACAGTGCAACGTTCCAGTGTCCGACACTGACTTTGAGGTTTTAGCTTATAGTTCTGAAGCTTCCGATCTGCGTATTTTGGAATAATTGTATATTTTTAAAGAGAAACCTAGTTTTAACGCTGCCTATAGTTCTCATCCTTTAGAAATTGTGAATAGATAGGTACTTACTTTATTATTCTGCCCTTTGTCTGTGAATTTAGGTTTTTAACTTCAGTGTTTTTTTACTCCAAACTTTATTAATTTTCTGACTTTATTTGTGTTCGAGATTTCTCGAACTGACGATGAAGCTGGTCTCCGAAACGTTTTCAATAGAGATATGCGGAATTTTTGTGGTGTTTTCTTCGTTTTTAAATTTCTAGTGAATCTGCGATTAAAGCAATCTAGTGACATTATTACTTAAATAAGACCAATCGTGCAAAACCACGTTCTTAATAGAATGTTGATTAAATATGTAAATACAGACTGCATAATATTTAAAGTAATACTTTTGTCACGACACAAACCTACATCAACGAACAATGCAGTCTATATTTCATCTGGCTCTACTGCATGTGTTCTATTTTTCAACACTTCTCTTTAACTTCATTTCTTGTTTGTTTGTCTGTCTGCTGCAAATCTTATAATCGATATTTAACACACTTCTGCCTGTCCAATCGTTCTGAAATTTTGCACACTCCCGTAAAGTTGGAGACAATGCATGAATCAATTGACAGAATAAATAATTTAAAAATAAAAAAATTGTTTCAGTATTACAAAAATTGAAAAATAATTTGCCTGTTACAAACCTTCTAATCCATATTTGACACACTTCTACCTGTTTAATCGATCTGAAATTTTGCACGCTTGCATAGAGTCAGAGACAATGTATGAATCAGTTAACAGAATAAATAATTTTGAAAATTTACCAAATTTTGCGATTTAAAAAAATGTTAAATTATTTTTTTATATTTGCAAAGAAAATTAGAAATTCATTGTACATGTGTAACAACAAAGACACTGAATTCTTTAGGAGTTTTGTCTTTAACAAGTAATTTTTAAACGTATATTGTTCCTATTCTATTTCCTAAGTTGATGTTTGAATGAAGTATGCAATGGTTATACTTAAAGGACAACAAAAACTAAAAATCTTCCATTAATCAATTCTTAACTTGTTGTTTCCATTCTTCATCAGAATCTTCGTTAGTTATGACTTCATCACTACTACTTCCTTCATCTAACCCTTGTTCTAACTGAGGGTCAACGATCAAGCCTTGAACAACCAATTCCCGAGGCGGAACACCGACATTTTGAGGATCCCTTCTCTCTGCGACGTTAACACGTTCTTCTAACTCCAACGCTTCACCCATTGGTACCCGTACAACAATTCTAGGCGTACCAATATCATCTATATTCTTCAATTGGGACGCAGGATCGTCGTGTGCTATTATTTGTTTTGCGTTGGGCGAATCGTCGACTTGAGGCACGAGTTCGGCGGTGTGAGACCCACGCTGTTGAGGCTTGCCAGAAGAAGCGTACGAAGCTGGCCCAATGATACTGAGCAACACCGGCAGGAACACCAGGCCGTGGAACACCCCAAACACGAACACACCGAAGAATATCTGGAATATGAAAATTTTGAGGCAACATTTTCCTTCTTATGATATTTGGTCACTTGGTTTTGCTATACGAATTTGATAATTTAAACGCATCATCTCTCAAGTCGTGATTCGTGATGCTGTCAGTTATTCCGCAGAATTTGAATCCATATACAAAGGAATTTTGTCACTTTTCACACAGTATCAAGGTGTATTGAATCTAAAAAATTACTTTGAAGAAACTTATGAAAACGTGCGAGTCAGAATTAGCGAGCAGGATGAAGGCCAGGAAGGTTGACACGGCCCCGTTCAGCACCGGAGGCGCCATCATGGTCAGCGTCTGGTGCACGCGTTCGTTGCGGCTGCCTTCCACCTGCCATGGATTACTTTGGAAAGTAATTTATGTAACCTTGGAAGCATTTAATAATTGACGGTTAATGATATTGAGACTTGTTTTTTAATTGTATTTGGTTGGTTGTACAGACGTCAAGCGTCGTGAGAGCTTACAAACTATAATGTAAGACAAAGTTCCGCTCAATCTTTTTTATTGTAGCTATTCTTTTAGCCGAAACAGATTACATATTCCCTTAGAATGAAACTAATAGTTACGAAAGGCTAATTTATATTATTTTATGGCCGGATTATCAGTCCTGACATGAAGGCCTGGTTTATAACCTGCATGAAGTGAAGGCCGATATGGGCAGAGTAGTCAACACAGAGGCCTATGCAGAGCACCAAATTAATGCACGACACCGTGTCTATGGTGAGGCCCCACCACGACATCAGGGCCATCACGTCAATCTGGGGACAAACATCCCGCTGATATTTACATATGAGAATTAAATATAATCCAATTTGAAATATTACTTTCAGAAAAATGTACATAATAATTTGAACTCAAGTCATTACATGAAAATCAAATGTATTTTCCATGGATAACAGCAATTTAAATATTATAATATATGATATCCTATCATAATATATAATAATATTATAATAATCTAGATTAATTTATAATCTCTATTGATTAATTGTAAGATTTACAACTTAGTGTGAATGAAAGACTGATATCGATATAACGTTCAGTGTTGTTTTTAAGTATAACTATAATTCGAAATCAAACTTAAGATAATACTATTGAATTTCAGATAATTCTATCACTTATGTACGGACGAGCGTGAGGGTGACGCACACGAAGACGCAGAGCGCCGTGGAGACGTTCGCGATGAGCAGCAACGTCATGCCCAGCACCGCCACCAGCGCCAGCGTCAGGTTACGGATCAGCTCCGCGGCGATCACCTTGTCTGTCTCCCAGCTGCTGTACAGCATCGCTACTGGCGCAGCAAATGCTGTGAAATGATCAGGGCGAATGGGTATTTGAGTCTTCTTACCGTTTATTAACATTGAAATTGAGATGTTAATGCTATTTTGACACATTACTGAAATACTTCGATTACTTATTTTACTCGCACCTACGTCAACTAGGTGTCGATGGTTATTAAATCTTGATATAGTGATGTATGAGTGATCAAGTACCTGTCACCTGAATCAAATGACGAGACTAAGGTGATTGACGCCAGGTGACGAGACTAAGGTGATTGACGCCAGGTGACGAGACTAAGGTGATTGACGCCAGGTGACGAGACTAAGGTGATATTAATGTTATCGTCACCTGAGAAGTCCTCGCTAGCGACGAGTTCCTTGGTCCGGTCCATCGCCGCAATTTGCTCATCTCTGTCGCCTAGCACCCCATGTTGAAAGTCAAACTTGCTAGCCTGTATTTCGATAAAAAAAATTGTAACATCGGAGTTTACAATTAATAAAGACTAAATATCGAACGTTTTCGCACTCACGCACATAGAATTGCATATCTTTGTTCCAAAAATTTTCACAATTCAAGAAAAGCAACACTCAAAATTATGGACTTCAACTGATCGATAAAATTAAAAAAAAACTAGTCGGTTTCAAATGAAAAGATTCATAGAGCAACAAGTAACTATAAATAACAGTCAGAAAAAATACATGAGTTTACGTTCGAGTATCAAGCCATGCAACTGTTACTCGCCAGTATCTTAGGGATGTCTTGTTGACATGAAACGTTGCCATCGAAGTTGAAGTAGGTTTGAAAGCGAGAGCCTGTGGCCGAAAATATAAACTTCCCCATGATTTGGTTGAAGAAGCTTTCATTAAGAGCTTGTCCGCGTATATCTGTGTCAAAATAAAATGAAAAATTTAGGATTACCAGAGTGGAAAAGATCAAGTGCAAATATTCTTATTCAAAATATGATTCAACACGATTATTCCCTGTCACAATTGTTTGAACAATCGGGAACTTTATACAATAGTTGTTGAATAAATTTCGATGAAATTCATTTAACTAATTAAATTTATTTACATAAATTTTATAAAATCATGATCAGATTTCAGAAATTAATAATTATTCTAGAACCTCCAAATTCAGTGAGATTGATAAATTACAAATAAGAACTTTCCTCCGAATTTTCAATACACACAAGTCCCCTCCACAATGAATTAGTTTCAGGGCCGTTCTACAAGTAACGTCAGGAATTACAATTAAAAGCTCTATAGTTGTTTCTAATATAAGTACAATATACAAACCGATGCCGATATCTTTCTTTGTGTAGTCAGCAAGCTCGAAGTACCAGGAGTCAACCGTCGATATGTCAGGGTCCTCCAACATGGCGATCGTGAGAGAGTTGATCTTCGGAAGCTCTGCGGGATAATCCATAACACCGAACCTCGGGTGCCTATTAATAAATAAATCAATAAACATAACGAATAAACATAAATAACAAACAGTCTTATATCGGCTGATATTGTGCTCCCTCATCTCTTAATTAATGCTCCCGGTGATTTTTCCAATGGGTTTACGAGAGGATTTAATCAATTCACTTGGAAATTTTTCATTCTGGTAACGGAGTAATTTTACATAGTATTGTAGCGGGATAACTACGCTCCATATACAAAGTTACTGGATCTCTGCCCGCGGGCCCTAGCGCACGAGGATTAATCAGACTTGATCAACGAAGTTTCATAGGTCACAACGTATATTTGAATTACATAGAGAACCCACAGGGACGACAATAGACTTTAAACTAAGTGCAAGTAGGTTCACGAATGCAGATAATTTACAGACATCATATACAGATATGTACAGAGATTATAAGGTGGTAAGTCCGGCAAAGGTAGGCTGCCTACTCTAGAGAGTTGATCTTCGGAAGCTCTGCGGGATAATCCAGGGCACCAAGGAACACCGAACCTCGGGTGCCTATTAATAAATAAATCAATAAACATAATGAATAAATATACATAATAAACAGTCTCATATCGGCTGATATTGAGCTCCCCAATCTCTTAATTAAAGGTCCCGGTGATTTTTTTCAACGGGTTTACGAGAGGATTTAATCAATTCATTTGGAAAATTTTCATTCTGGTAAAGGAGTAATTTTACATAGTATGCTCATAAAGTGAAAAGCCTGACTTCTTCCATATATGACTCTTTCCGCTAAAAATAAATCACAGTGTATAACATAGGTTCATTAATCATTACCTGGTAATACAATTTTTTTCAAACCTACTTGCTAACCGTATTTCTTGAAGCAACGTTACCACAATACTACTTTCAAACCTGCATTTGGGAAGTAGTACTCGGCTTGAGTCAGGAACGAGTATAGGTAGGAGGACTGAGGTAAGAACCACACAGGGTTAAACTCCTGACGAAGAGTAGACACCCCCCAGCCGGCAGTTGCTGTCATTGCGACGGTGATCAAAATAACCGCAACCTGCACTCAATCATGATATTGTCATCACCAAGTCCCGTCATAGTGAAATAATTAATTTTTACATCGTAGGTCAAATCTAGAGTTTGGAAAATGAATGTTTGTCAGGGATATTTGTTTAAATTAAAAGTTCAAGATCAGTTTTCTGTTCGCAAGTCTAACAGAAAAGCCAAACCAATATATTAAGCCTGCATTGAACTCACTAATCCATTAAGTTCTTTTTATAGTAAAAACACTTACTTTTCCGTAAATTGACAAAATTGCCGGTGAGTAGAGTTTTTCAAAGAAACTCTGGCAGAGGTCGGTCTGTGAGCACTGGTTTGGCTCGTAATTCTTGTGCGTGTAGCACCAGAACAAGCCGTTCCGATTTTCTATTACGAATAAAACATGCGTAAAAACATGTACGTATCATTAAAATCATCGCATTGCCAATAAGTAAAATAAACTATTCGTCGCAAGTTTCCTCGAGCATTTCACTGAACACACTTGATCTTGTCAACAGAGATGAATTAATTATTATCGCAAAGTGAATCGAGGTGAGTCGAATCACTTTGCCTCCTTAACCACATGCAAAAATTATTCGTCTTATAAAATGAACGAAGTTTTTAGATTTCATAAAATGCTTTGTAAAAACCTAACTCAACTGAATGAAACAGTTAATTTATATGCAAGCAAATTGTACATAGAAATTGTACCTTAGACGAAAAATTATGAGTAAATATTTCACGTATTTCACGCTTTATATTGTATAGAGGTTTGTGATGATTAATCTCACTTTGCATCCTGATTTGGTCGAAGGTAAACCAGGCGACGAAAAATGTCGCCTGGAGCCCGTACAGAGCCACCACGCCCACCGCCGAATAGATGCAGAAACTGCGCAAGGCTGGTAAAGTCTGTAAAAAAACGAAAGATCGATTTAATTCCTTATCCGCATCAAGTAGCTAATCTAAGTCTATGCAAATGAGATAAACGATGCTATTTAAATTGACAACGTTTGTTCCTTGCGCGAAATTATTACTATAGTTACCGTTGTAGCGCCGATGGCAAAGGCGAGAGCATCAGTGAGGGAAGTGACAGTAATGGCGACTCCGGCGTGCTGCAGGGCCCGGCCAATTTGCTCCTGTATCACTGCATTTAGGCGCTCCTGCAGTAAAACACGAACGATGTATGAAGGATATAATTTTTTAATATTATAATTTTATTATATTTGTGAAGATTATTCTTTAACTTTTTAATTAAAATAATAAAAAATATAACTCAGTACTCACTGCAGTGAGTGACAGAGAGCGCATTTTCTCGTCGACGAAAACTTGAGGTCACGGACAGACGGACGGACAGAAAGACAGACGGACATGGCGAGCACAATAGTGCATTTTTTCCGTAAATGAGAAAATGCGCTAAAAACAATAATAATAACGGTGTCAGCGTTTATCAGGACGCAGGCCTCTCGCCGATTCATAACATCGCAGAACATTCACAGCTTGTCGCGGTCTCGAACATGCAACTCATTATTGTTTCAATTTTTCTGTGTTTAACAGTGCGGGCTCCTCGCCGATTCTGACCAGAAACTGTCGCAGATAGCTGAGATCGAACATAAACCTCTCTGCTCCAATCCTGATACTCTGAACTGTAACCACTGCGGCGACTCTGCCCTATGAGGTCAGTCAGTGAGCACTGGCTACTTGTGGTTGTGGCAATTAGGAGTTAGCTTGACGTCACCTTGAGTTGGCGCGTAAAAAAACTAACTTATCAACCGTTTTGGGGACGTTTGAGAAATTCAGAAATGTTTTTATAATCACCACACCAAATGTGTGTATGAGGTGGAAAAAAAGAAGAGATGGCTCACAGTGTCCAGAAGGGGGAGAAGAAACGAAAAGACGGAAAAGGCACAATGCGCATTATTTATGTTTCTTGTAGATTTCTGAAGCTGCTTTGGGATTGTCTGGAGTGGCCGTAGGGAAGTCTTTCGTGCCTTGGATGGTTTTTATGGGGGGTGTAAGGGTGGTAATAGGGGTTCTTCATTTACGATATATACAACTATACATCACCAAATTCTATTTAAAAATAACAACAATTTGTACTCTCGGTGCGGTTTTGCGTTTTTATTAATCTTTTCTGGTTTAAATATTTTTTATTAAGATGATTTGATAGTAAAGGTGATGATGAAAGTTGTGAGTCGTTCGAAAATCATAGGGTTGGCTGGGACGGCTTTTGTTGGGACTACGATAGGTTTTTTAATTACATTTATATTGCAAGTCACTTTCGATGAGTTTTGTCTGTCACAGATAATAAATCCACAAAGAAATTAATTTCACCTGTTGAGGCAGGTTAGACCAGCACTGGACGATGACAAACATGTCGTCCACACCAAGTCCGAGCATGAGAAGCGGCAGGATGCTGTGCACTGGACCGTAATCCAGACCGCAGGCCGAGCACAGACCGAAGGATATGCCCACCGCCATACCGGTGGACATCAAACCCATCAGTGACAACAATGGCTGCTCAGAGAAAAATAATTCTCGAATATAATCTCTTGGCTGCTAATCAAACGTCGTGTAATATATACAACAAATATTTAAATAGCTAATTTGTAAAATCAACTTTAGCTTTTGCAACCCTATACGTAGCCGCTGATCACCTCTGTTTGAAAAAACGTTGGAAAAACTGTCCGAACGGCATTTTAGCAGCCTGCGGAACCGTGAAACAAAACCATGCTACCATTTTCTCCGAAGTTAACATATGAAACCAGCAGTGCGCATAAACCGTGGAATGATAAATTTTCAACATCATAATTTGAGCTTGAGTTTGTAAAAGATAATGCAAGTATACTTCGACTAACCGGCTTATACAAGCTACAAAAAAGGACCTCAATGCTTGAATGCTACATGAGCGAAACTATACAAGACACAATAACTCTTCCCCTGAAAAGAATCCAATCTGCGACACACGTACTCACCCGCTGCTCGACTAAGTTGAACTTGCCGAGCATGAGAGTCACGTAAATGAAGAGGATCGCGTTGCCAACCGCCAGGAAGAACACGTCTCCCATGATCGTGCTTTCGCTTATCTCACCGAAACTGAAATGAATTCGTAACAATTTTTGCGCGGTGCTAAATATTAAAGATATTCCTATTTATACAACAAATTTATCGGGCAGCAGGTATAAAAAGGTTATGTTACATTTTTACTATTTTTACAGCTTATTTATGTTCAAATTTTTTACTTGTTTTTATTTTTAAGCAGCGAATTTAACGGAAAGCAAGTGTAAAAAGGCTGCAATTTGTTTGTATTCATTGAGAAACAACAGGAACGTGGTTCGTCAAAAAGTTCATAAAAAAGTGAACATGGATCAGTAAAAGCCCAAAGCACCTACGAAGAAAATAAGTACGAGAAAGAATTTGAATCAACAAAAGCTAAAGTAGCTACCTCTTCTGATAGGAGACCGCCAGCCACACATTACTCATGGTTGAACTAGTATAAGGTTGACCCATCTGAAGCTCATTTTTTTGCGGATGTAGCTCGTTTTTGACCTGTGACGTCACTGATCTCAGTGACGTCACGGGCTTTAACCAATCACCGAAATGCGATCAAACCAGTCGACCAATCCGTCATGAGAAAGACGGGTTTGTTTACGTTTCTCGATCTCAGTGACGTAACAAGAAAGCTGGACTGAAAGGCGGAACTTCTCCTGGATCAACCTAATATAGTTCAACCAATAACCATGACATTACTAACCTCCTCTCAGTGCTGAAGTAGACAGTAACGCCTTCTGGCCTCTGGCTCTCGTTTTGTAGCACTTTTATGAACTCGCCCTCCCACATGTACAAAGCTGGGTCGACCTATATAATGAAGAAAGAATACTTTATCAGGAAATAGTAATAAGTGCTTTTGGAATGTTCATCTATAATTGCGACTTCGAAAGGTTTACCTTAAAAAGTCCAGGTTTAATTGTCAGGAGAGGTGAGGTCGACGTCTGTCCTTTTGATGACCAACATCCGCTTATCATCAACTGATCATCACTATTCTTACGCATGCAATAATAAGTGCCAAAATGTTACCACAGAGAATAGTTTTAAAAAAATTACTCAGCTCAATTACTTTAGAGGTTAGTCCAGACATAGCGTCGAGAGAGGCGAGATCGATGGCAGTTCTGTTGGTAACCATCATCCGCTTATTATCAACTGGCCATCGCTATTCTCACGTATTCAGTAATAAATGTCAAAATTTAACACTGAAAATAATTTAGAAAAATGACTGAGCTTAATTACTTCAGAGGCTAGTCCAGACATAGCGTCGAGAGAGGCGAGATCGATGGCAGTTCTGTTGGTAACCATCATCCGCTTATTATCAACTGGCCATCGCTATTCTCACGTATTCAGTAATAAATGTCAAAATTTAACACTGAAAATAATTTAGAAAAATGACTGAGCTTAATTACTTCAGAGGCTAGTCCAGACATAGCGTCGAGAGAGGCGAGATCGACGGCAGTTCTGTTGATGACCATCATCCACTGGTGCAAGGTAGCGCCCGCCGCCACGATGTGGCCGCTGCTGTTGCGCTCCACGGCCCCGAGGTACTGGCTGAACTCCATTGGGTACAGATACGTGGCGCTAGGAAGAAAATTATTGCGATAAAATGTCTTTTCAACGAGAAAGCTTCAGCGTTAATGTAATATAAGTAGTTCAGTGAAAATTACTCGTAAAATAAACTTATGATTTTACCTAAAAAATATTTCAGATGGCATTTTCGTGGATTTTAATTCATCTTTCAAAGCTTGAAAATTTGTAAATTCATATTTGCTGTTTAAACATAGAAGCTTCTAGTTGCACCATTCATATTGGCATATGCAAAGAATCAACTATTCGCAGCGAAGCATAACCAACGACTTTTGAACAGGTTCTGAGCTTTATATATTAATAATTCAATAAAATTAAAGAATGAACTGTATTCATTTTTTATTTATCTATTCATTTATTGATTTACTTTTTTATTATTAAATTTTATCTAGAGGAATACATCTTGAAGTTTAGACTGTATTCCATTCCAAACCAATTTAATGTAACTCTTCATCACAGTAACATTGCGATCATCCTGTTTGATTAATGACCAGGGGCCGGATTATCAAAACATCGCTAAGTACACGTAGCGACTTACGTATGGCGTAAGTGCTGCTATGAAGAAGTAACTCTAGCTGTGGTATTATCAAAACATTTGCGCGGGAAGCTACGTACAAGAAACAGTACGTAGCTCTACGCCTGCTCGGAGGTGTCGTAAGTGGAGTTTCGTAGACGTTTTGAGTGTGCCGAAGCAATATAAACCTATTGATTTACTTGCAACACGGTGAATTGTGATAGAATTTTGTCAATAATTCAACATAGGCATAATATGTGATCGTGCTAAACGGTGCTTTTTGAGAAAAAATTTTCAATTAAGTTATGCCAGCTAATTTCTTTTCCTTTTGTGCTATAATTTGCAAGCAAATCTTGATATTCGTATCTGAGAGTTTTATGATCATTCACTGAAATAATATCTTCATGAATTTTTTATTCAAAACTAAGTCGAGTTTGACAAGCCAACCATTTTTCTAGCTACGCACACAAATTCCTTTCTTTCTCCGCTGATAGTTGAACTCCAACTCTCAAGAACTCCAACTCACAAAATGTTCTAAATTCTAGGTAGCTCTCTAAAAAGTCCTCAAATTTTGAATGGGAAAAATGTAAATTTTTGCCTTGATTGCAAAAATTTACAATCAAGGCGTTGTCATTGCTATTTAGACAACGTCTCACTCATTTCTCCATATGCTCCCTAGTCAGTCAACGCAGATGACGCTGACACAATCCTTTCATCCACGCGCACTGCGTACTGAGTCGACAGGAGCTAGGAATGGCAAATTCGAAGCCTCTGATTGGTCAGTTAGTTGGATGGTTTCGATAATACCTTTTCAGATGAGTCTTGCGTAAGACAGTTTTGTTAATGCCAAATTTTGACTGACTTAGGCAATACGTAACTTTTTGAACGTAAGTGCAAAAAGTTACGTGTACTTAGCGAAGTTTCGTTAATCTCTGCCCAGGTGTTAAGAAGTAGATTATTTCACGAATTAAAATCCCATGATTCGTGTGGTTGTTTACTATAGTTCCACTATGATATCTTTGGAGCTGCCGTGCTCCGCCCTCGCTTCACGTACGAAAAGTTAAACATTACAACAATAACTGCTGTTGAGTACTTAACAAGTAACTGTTCAGTACGGAACAATAAGTTCAGTTGAGGTACCTGAACGTGGCAGTGTTGATGTCGTTGATAATGTCTTGTTGAGTGAGCCTGTTAATGACATCAGGTTTATCCCCCCATACGTCCAGGATACCCAACTGCAGGCATGATCTCGGTATGAGATCTAACACCTGCGGAAAAGATGTTAATGTTATCACGCATTTAATATTAATCAAATCGTTTTCACCGCTAGAAAGATATTACATTTATGCCTGTTGGAAAATAAAGACACGTAGGGCTATAATTTGTTTATTGCATCTGTAAGAAGTTCCGTACATCTGAGTCATATAACAGTGTTTCTTATCAGATGCGTTCAACTGTAATCGGAATGGTTTTCTCACACGCTTGAAATTTTTACGCCCTTAGTAAATCCCGATTACGTAATGCATGAACCTAAACTTTAGGTATAACTAAATTTTAATGGCTGACCTAATTTCAGGCCTATTCGACAGTCTTATAGCGATTGAATATTCAAATTTGCGATTTTTGCGTATCCCATTATTAATTTTCCTTCACTATTTTTCAAATGCTGATACATATCATACCGAACTAGATTACGTAATGAGACAAATTTTAAGTTCAATTGTCAGCTGCTTGCCACACTCACGTACAGTGAAGGTTTAGATATTCAAGACTTCAGAGCAGGACATCCAGGTAATAATGTAATACATTCATATATAGAACTTTCATATCACAAGCCAGTATATGAAAAAAATTATAAGTGAAGTCTGAAGTGAGTTTGTTTACTAAAACACCCAAGAAAATTTATACTTGGCAATGATGGCCAGTGGTGTTTAAAAAATAACCCTGTAACGGTAAGTGACTCAAAAGGTGAGTGCGAAGTGCAGTTCATATACGATGTTAGTTTTTCTTCTTTGTAGACGAATCTATATAAGTCACGCATACATTCACCTCCTAAATTGTGTAAAATCCATACGGTCAACATTATATAGTTGACTGTATGAAATAAAAAATTTTGAAGCCCGTCTCCAATGCAGGCTTTATCACGAATAATTTTGTTCAACATCCTATTATTGATGCAGTTAATATGGATGAATCAACTGAAAGACCTAGGAAATAATCTTTAGATTAAGCGTTCACAAGCTCCAAGACCCAATTACTCACGGAGCAATCTTGCAGTTAATATGGACAAATCAAATGAAAGACTTCGAAAATAATCTTTAAATTAAGCGTTCACGAGCTTCTAAGACCCAATTACTCACGGAGCAGTACACGTTACGGCTGAGCTTCAGCGACCAGTCTATTCTGGTGGAGGCCGCGCCGAAGTTCTGCTCGACCAGCTGCTGCGATCTACTCAGCACGGGCACACTAAAGGTGTCCAACCGAAATTAATACCATCTAAATCCAGAAAATTCCTTAATCTATGTTCTTTTTATGTTCGAGTATTGATTCCAATTACAGNTTTTATGTTCGAGTATTGATTCCAATTACAGGTTATCCCAATTTGTTTGTATGTAAAAAAAAAAGTTTCTAGAAAAGCCGTTATATAAACAACGTTATTTCTATGCAGAACAAATGAGTAATTTGGTCAAACTCACTTGAAGCACAAATCTGTTTGGTTGCGTGACACCCCAAAAGAGTCTGTAACCGTGATGGCAGCTACTTCCTTATAGATCCTGTAAATCTGTAACGATTGTAATTGACGTCTTGAATGAACGTTTTGCAACAATTTAATGCGAATTAATACAATAAATTGCTAGTTTCAACCCAAGTATTATTCTTCAAAGAGAAAATAATCAGCTAAATTGTTTGTTATTTCAACTCGAGATGCCATCTGAACCCATGTTTAAGAAATTATTAATAACCGAATGATATGCCGAAGAAGAAATAAATATCAGTTGGTGGGCCTCTCACAATCGCTTATTTATCCAAGCTTTGTCTGTGAATGAAATAAATCTTGACGAGCCATAATTATTGCTTAAAATAAACTTGAACAAGATTCGAAAACTTTGAGGTGTTCACATCCTGCGTCAACAACGTACACGTTGGTTCTAGAGGTTTTAGTACGGTCTCAGACCCAGCCTGTAGTCGTTACTGTCTAGGACCTCAGCCTGAATTCGTAACTGTCTAAGACCTCAGTCTGAAGTCGTTACTGTCTAAGACCTCAGCCTTACCTCGTTGCTGCCCAAGTCCTCAGCCTGAGCCAGTTACTGTCTAAGACCTCAGCCTGAATTCGTTATACTGTCTAAGACCTCAGCCTGAAGTCGTTATACTGTCTAAGACCTCAGCCTGAAGTCGTTATACTGTCTAAGACATCAGCCTGAAATCGATACTGTCAAAGACCCCAGCCTGAAGTCATTAATGTCTAAGATCTCAGCCTGAAGTCGTTATACTGTCAAAGGCCTCAGTCTGAAGTCGTTACTATATAAGACCCCAGCCTGAAGTCGTTACTGTCTAGGACCTCAGTATGAAGTCGTAACTGTCTAAGACCTCAGTCTGAAGTCGTTACTGTCTAAGACCTCAGTATGAAGTCGTTACTGTCTAAGACCTCAGTCTGAAGTCGTTACTGTGTTCGGGAACTCTTCCGCTTGCCACTCCAGTGCAGTTATGTAGTCGGAGTTCTATCATGACACTATTATTTATCCCGTGTTACTTATATCAAAAACTTGCGATAGTATATTTTTTAACACATTTATAACAAATAATAACGTGGCTCCTACTATTTCTAAGCAAGGAGAATTTTTTGTTCAAGAGCCAACCAAATTCACGGTATATTATTTTTTTAAATCACTTTTTTTAAGACGCGTGATTGTTAATTAAGTCGCAGTCAGAAAAATGAAACAGCAATATATACCCTAAAATTTCAAAGCAAACAATATGCTACATAAATTCACCACATCTTTAGAAAAAAACTTTTGGAGTACAGCTCCGTCGATATTTCGAAAATTCTGTTTACTCATATTTTTAATGTATCAGTTAACAGAATTTTTGGAGCTGGCTGGACTCTAGCGTTTTCTACTAGGATGTGGTCAAATTTTATTTTAAATACTATGGTTTAACTCTATGGAGTGTTTACCTGAGGGATCCAAAGTTTCTCAGGCCTAGTTTCCATATTGAAGTTGTATAAACCGAGGCAACAAATTCCCGTGAAGATGAAGCATCCAGCGATGTATAGCCTGGGCCGCTGAGCGATGCTTTTGCCGTGCCTGTCGTCACATGGATACGTACACTTGGCTTCAACATTTTTAGATCAACTATCAATAAGGATTTAGTCTCAAATAATGCAAAATGAGCCCCTTTATTCATTTGAGCCCCTCATTCAAATTTAATTTTCAATGTTACAAGTGTTCTCTAACTAACGTCATTGCACTAATTAAGATTACTTCGTCCTTGCAACGATTTCTAGTTTTTGTCCGAAAAACCACTCAATCTAAATACGAGTTGAATCAAATCTCGTGTATTTGGTATTGCCTCTGCATTATCTACGAATGGCTTAGTCCAATATGTGTATAAAAGCTTGCACATGAGACAAGATATAAATTTTCAGGAAATATCATCCACAGGCGAGATCAGGATTACATAAAAATATGGTATTTGCTAACTTAACAAAACGTAAACTTGGCAATAATTATAACCGTTGAAATTTTCCGCGTTCTAAGCATCATCCCAGCTAGTGGAGGAATTCGAGTATAGTCTTCCGCCGGCAAATATGTCTAGCGCTTAAACTTGACTTGATTTTTAAAATGTCGATTGCCACCAATAAGATAATTAGTCCAGGTGCGGTCAAGGCCGATAACCTAGCCTAGACCTAGGTGCAGCCTAGATATAAGGCTAGTTAGCCTCTGCATTATCCACGGGTGGCTTGGTCCAATATGTGTATAAATGCTTACACATGAGACAATATATAAATTTTTAGGAAACATCATCCACAGGCGAGACCAGGATTACATACAAAAAATGGTATTTGCTAACTCAACAAAACGTAAACTTGACAATAATTAGAAGCGTTAAAATTTTACGCGTTCTAAGCATCATCCCAGCTAGTGGAGGAATTCGAGTATAGTCTTTCGCCGGCAAATATGTCTAGCGCTTCAACTTGACTTGATTTTAAAAATGTCGATTGCCACCAATAAGATAATTAGTCCAGGTGCGGTCAAGGCCGATAACCTAGCCTAGACCTAGGTGCAGCCTAGATATAAGGCTAGGTGCTGCCTAGCCGATAAGGTCTATTTTATAAACAAAACGGAAGCACATCTCTCTAGCGCAATTGAAACATCTTTGAAGTCGGCGTGTGGTTATAGAGCCTACAAATCGTATTTCTAGCCAGTATTTTGCGGTTTATAATGAGGAGCGGCGAGGTAAGTGGAGTATCTGCTATGTGTGTTTTGTTAAAGACCGGAGAATTCGTTTTATTTATTAGCTTCTTGTTAGTTTTTTCAATTAGTCGTACTAAATTTTTCGTATGTGTTGAAAGATTGAAAATTAAATTACCGATGGACATTTTTAATATTGAACGACGTTTCAAATGTATAACATTCATTTTCAAGTCAAGGACGCATTGAGTAACGAAATTTGGGTTGAAATGTGTACGAAATCAAGTAAATTGGATACCATTCAAATAATGCTAAAATTTCGTTAATGTGATACTACAGGAAGATTTTACAAGCGTAAGAACTACTCGGAAAACAATCTCAAGAAATTCTGCCAGTCTTCACTAATATCTGCTAAGTGGAGACTATATAATGCTGCACTGACGATTGAATGTTTGCTGCTGCTCCACTTAAAGACTAAGCAAGTAAGTTTTAGATCAACTTAGAACCAACACTGCCATAGCGAGATGATTTATTTAACGAAAATGTTTCCCGCTCACCAATAGAAGCCTGCCTCCATTGCATTGACGAACGCGAACGATGCTCGGCTGAGGCATCCCGACGAATTTGTGCTTTTCTGCTCCATTTCAGTCATCTTTGCTGAGATGTGACTGTAGTAAGTAGATCATTATTAGTTGCATTACTCTTTACTTAGACTCGTTTTTAAGAATACGAATAAAAATTGTTCCCGAGAATTAAAACAAAATGTTTGCAGATACCGTGGCCCTAACTCAAGTATCGTCAAACATACATACACATCGAGTGCGTATTCACCAGCTACCGACAGAAACAATGAATTCTACTTGAAATAGTTAATATGTTTTGAATCTTTTTAAAATATTTTAAGTAGCTTTGTAGTATGGTAATCAGTCGCTCTTTAGCATTTTAATGTCGTACTGGCCGCCCCTACTTCCTTCGAATACAAGTAGCTGTTAATTTATGGCCGGTCTTGAATTTTCATGAAGCATTTTCGTTGCCCCTAATAGAGGGTAAGTATGATGAGACCAGTAAAAAATCGTTGATACTAGCATTATTATTCATAAGATCGTATATGAAAATTTACAAGAGGTCAGAGAATTAAATGTGAACAGTAGCTAGCCAATAAATAACGTTTTTGCCAGTTTTTGCCACTGTACTCTTTTAGGCTCCACGCGCGGCACATTTACAATACTCAAAAATATAACTAAGCGACCAAATTTCCCAAATAAGTATATACAACAATTTTCTCAACTTTTTATTTTTAAATCATTATTTCTTATTTCCCAGTTTCTTGTTATTGAAACAATTAAATAAATTTCTGCCCACAAATTTCATCCATGTATCTATGTACCCATTCTCCAAAAATAAATATACGTTAATGTAACCTCGGAAGTCGGAAGTTCTACTAAAATATCGTTATTATACTTCTTTCATGAATGATCCGGTATCCTCTTTCTTGATAAACTTTTATCGCTTTATCATACCACCTTTAGTCAAAACTTAGAATTATATTTAGCAGCGTTATCGTTCACAATAACTAACAAGACACTCGTCACAACACAAGTAACGCTGCACTACAAAATACTTTGCCCTGTGGCCGTATAGCACCGCAACTGAAGAGCAGCTCGACGCAAGTGCTTCCCAAGGCTGCTCCTCAAAGTATTTACGTAGCCTATTCAATTCTTAAGGATATAAATTCTTCTACTTTATATATTGGTATTTCTTCCTGAACAATGGCATGAGACTGATTTTTAACATATATTTTATATTATTATGTGTGTGTGGTTGTGGTTGTGAAGCCTGGCACCGGAAATACTGTATATTGGGGCTGATCAGGCGTGTAACCTCGATACTTATCATGACGAATGTTACCTTATAATATTATTTTAATTATAGTATTATGTGACAATGAAACATTTTAGAGATATTAAAATTATATTTATATATTATATGTGACTTTTACTTTTTGTGAGGGTAAATTTCAATCAAAATAGCTCATGTTTCCTGTGAGTTCCAAACCGGGACCTAATCAAGAGTTTGGTGCTGAATGTGGGTTTGAACGTGTCTCTGTTATACATATATGTTACTGTTAGATACATTCGTCTAAAAATTATCAACTATGTATGCTTAAAAACACGCGATTTTGTTTCACGGAATTCACAAATTGCGAGGATTATTGATCCCTGTTAACGCACTAGTTGACAATAAACTATATTCTTCCATCTGTGGTCTGAGGTCATCCACGAGGATGAGTTCATTAGAGAATAACCCCCCAAAACACTCACCTGTTATCAATGAATATTTTGATACAAAGCCACAAAATTTGAGCTGTATTAATTGTACCTGTACAAACAACGTTCTTGCCATCTATGATTTCCTAAACCCCTCCACTTTTATTTATAATTTTCTGCACCTACCTCCATCGTTCTTTACAACCGAATCAGCGATCATTATAATCGGTAATAATTTAAAGGTATCTGATATCTATTATCCTGAAAACATTATAACACATTATGTGAACTTACGATCACGACAATGATGTATTGAGAATCTGTCCCCTAACAATGATGATGAAATGAATCTGTCCTCTTGGATTCAAAGATATGTCATCCACGTGAGCACGCGAAGCTCCAACTGAGCATTCAACTCCTGCTCATGCACTTGCGTGCCGAGGTCATATAATATGAATATAGGCGCCCGGCAAACGTTTATCAGCTCTTATCTTCTCGTCTTCATACGTGACTTATTTCCATCACTATCTCTGACATAAATCGTTGCACTATCTGTGGCTCGTGGATCATGAAACATAGAAGTAAATGTTCCTATACACTATTTGAAAAATATATATATTATCTTGCCAATGGTGGATCCTCTTTGCAAAGTAAGGGGTTGTTTCAGCGCAAAATATCCAAGAGAGAAAATCGAAGATTGTTAACATTTTTATCAACTTACTACACTTATTGTTATCATTTAACTGCCATGCCTTGCTCTCTTTAAATGAGAACATTGTTGGTAAATTGATTTTTTTTAATCACGACACTACCTTGAGAAATTTCTTTCCGGAGTCCCTTTCAGCTACTGTAGTATAATTTCATTGAAAAGAAATCTCCAATAATTAACTGGAAATTTTATTTCAAATGATTGATTGATAGCATCATGCTCTTTTCTGCGTTCCCACGATAACTCAACGACATCATGTGTTCTTTCCCTGCTGATAATGCTAAGGTAATTAATGACAGCGATATGGCATAAAATTTCGGATTGTCCACGGTCAACAGAATGAATAGTGTCTGTGGCGGACCATTTAAAGCTCTAAAACGCAACTTTTATCTGGTTGATAAATAATTGAATACGCGTGTCATGCATGCAGGGTGTAATTCATTTTCTGTATTCCCAGACAATACCTACGGTTTCTGAAGGACACCGGAAAAAACATATGATTTGTTTACACAATGCAAGCATTCAACAAGTAAGCGATTTTTACAAGCACGAATATTCCAAAATATGTACAAATACCTTTTAAGATACAGTTCTAGCTTCGAACACGAAATTTGAGCCTACCAAAATTTGTTCCTTCTCCTAAATTAGATCGACTCACCAGCCGACAGATGATGAATGAAACCGAGATTTGGCAATACCTCGCGAAATCAAAATCAAGCCACCAATCATAAGCAAATGTTGCGTTCATAACAGTGTCCATGATTCAAAACTAACAATCAGCTAAGTAAAGTCACCATTTCTTCGTGAGGAACGTTTCTGAAATCAACTCCAAAACTTATTAGCTCAAAAATCTAATGAAAAAAATATACTCCTAAAATGGTCTTCGATTTTGCACATGTATATGTGATGATATGGCCGTAACTTGGGGGCTTACTTTGTAATCAAATGCTTAGTGAATTTGCGATTTGGGCAAACTAATGTTGTTAATGCATGAATATAATCGGTGTAGACAAGCAAATGTTCAGTCAGTTACGTAAATTGTACGAGACGAAATTGGTTAGCAAGTAGAATTTCTTTATGTCAAGTACAGGCGAGTGAATTTCACCAGGTTGATTGGCTGGACAGTTGTCCTCTTGATTTTTAGCCAATATTCTTTAACAGATACGTTAATACTAACTTATTAATTTTCAAGCATCCTTCTCATGTCAACCTTCTCTTTGATTACCTAAATCTGCCACACTATTCCAACAAATTTACAGGTTCCAACAAATTTACAGGTGAGCTTGAATCTAACGACAGTTTGTCTTTTTTCGATTGCACTTCTATTAAACCAATTGGCCGTTCTCAGACATCTGTCTTCCGAAAATCGACTTTCACCGCTATGACTACCAGCTTTTTTAACTTTTGCTTATTTGATTGTAGTTTGCTTCAAACACTATGATATCATCGCTTCCTTATTAGCGCATTTTCTCATTTATGGAAAAAATGCACTATTGTGCTCGCCATGTCCGTCCGTCCGTCTGTCTGTCTGTCTGTAGGTCCGTCTTTCCGTCCGTATGTCCGTGACCTCAAGTGTTCGCCGACGAGAAAATGCGCTCTCTGTCACTCACTGCAGTGAGTACTGAGTTATATTTTTTATTGAACATTCCTCGCTATGCACGCTGAATTTGAGCTGAACGCAATATCTTCTCGGAAAATTGGTTTCGGTCTTACCTGGTGTTTAAAGTTTACCCAAATCGATAAATGCACGTCCGAGCGATACAATGAAGTTGTTCTCGATCACAACAATGGAAACGTTGTCTATTATTATTATTTTTAACACGTTTTTCTTTACTCAGCTTCGCGTTTGTTTGTTTGTTGTTGTTAACATTGACAACGAAAATTAGCCCACTTCTGATTGAAATTCGGCATGCAGGCTATTTTCGCCTAACAATTTCAGATAAAATCATAAAAACTAGCAATTAGAGACCTAAATTAGCTTAATTGAGTAAAGTATATATATAGTATATATATATATATATACTATGACGTGCGGGCGCTGACGTTATAGACGAGCAGGCGCTGACGCTGCGTATCATCGATACGTACGTCAAGTCAAGTAAATTGGCTCGCAACAACGTTTTTCATGTGTAGCAACGGACTAAAAAGGAGAAAATAAAATACTAAAATTAAACTTTTTAAAAAAAACACGTTTTTCTTGTGGACTAAAAAGTAGAAAGTAAATTATGGCTCGCCCCAAAAAACGTGGGTCGTTCCCCATCAAATTTCCAAAATTCGTGTGTTGTGTGCTTTTCGCTTTAATCATAAATCTGCCCGACACGCGTTTTTTGGGGTGAGCCATGAATTTATTTTCTACTTTTTAGTCCACAAGTTGGTTTTTTTAAAAGTTTTTTAAGTATTTTATATACTACGGCCGAGCATCTGAAACTAGCTCAACCCTTTCGTCACGGATTCATTTTCCATTGTCAATGCTATTCGTACCTAGTGGTTTGGGACCGAGAAGTTCCGTCAGTCAAGAAAGGGTTTAGGAGAATTAAGAGTTTTGTTCATGAAATTAATTAAAAATTATAATCTTCATTTAATGTCGACGAATAATTTTTAAATTGGATCTTTTTACCACGTTTTCTTATTTTCGCTTCGTGTCCGTCTGTTTGTCTGTCATCAAAAATTCAAACCTTAATTTAGAGCACTTCTTAAGACCCTAGAAACTTAAAATTTGGCATGCATGCTTATGCTGCCTAACAATTCAAGATTTGATCATCAGAATTTATAATTTAAAAATAAAATAAAAAAACTAAAAATTCACGGTTGGGAATTGAGTTTTTTGGCGCACATTCAGAGTTGCCAACACTGGGAAATTATTTTAATTGCTAAAATTGCTAAACTAAAAAGTAGAAAATAAAATAATAAAAAAATATATTTAAAAACTACGTTTTTCTGGTGGTTACAAAACTAAAAACAATTAAATAAAACCAAAAAAAAAAAACTTTTAAAAGAACACGTTTTCTTAACGGACATAGAAGAAACATTACCTCTTTTTCAGTGAGTTGTCCTAAATTTTATTCGTGACCTAAAATGAAGTCTAAACTTTATTTTTTCAAATATTGTGCTGAGAAAACACAAAAACGTTGGGCGGGCTTTAAGACACATCCATTACCCAAGTTCTATTCATAATAATTAATCTTATTCATAATACTTAATCTGTAGCTCCTCATAATTTATGATATTTAGATCTTCACAGTTCCCGCCCCACGTATTTTGTTTCCTCAGCATAAGATTATAAAAAAGAAACTTTTTTACTTCATTTTAGGTCAAGAATAAAATTTAGGACAACTCACTGAAAAAGTTAATGTTTCTTTTTTGTCCGTTAAGAAAACGTGGTTTTTAAAAGTTTTTTTATTTGTTTCACTTCAGGTGCAATGTTATTCTCCCTATACTTATGCGATCGTTTCTAGTTAAAAATACAAGTGTATTTTTACGTACCTTGTACCTCTACCGTCACTGAGGCTCTACGTACCTTGGTATGACGTCACGCCATCTCCTAACGCGATTCCTTCATTCCCCTGTGCGGCACTTCCTCAAGAAGCAGACAAAACAACAACAACATTCCCCTGTGCGTACTCACGACGAGATAATATCCGATACCCCGATAGTAACATTAAGAACTTGTCTTACCCATACCATGCTTCCAAAATGCGTACTTCAGAATCCTTGCATATTTTTAAACAGAAGTCTAATATGAAAGCTACATTCAGTTCCGATCGACTTGAATTTGTGTATAGATATGTTTCGCCATTTTATTTATCCATTGCTCCCTATTTTATTGTAAATTTAGGCTCACATTTCTGTTTTCGACTGTACTAACAACTAATTGTATCTGCACTGTATAATTTTCGAACTGTCGATGGAAGCAATTTAGTGACATTGACAAGTCAATATATGAGAGTGACATGTCAATATATTGACTTGTCAATGATCCAGTGGCAAGTCAATATATATGAGAAGTTTAGACATTAACTCTATATTTTATTTTGAATGTTCTCAGTAAATTTACTTTCAAACACAGGAATAATACAATTATATAAGCATTATGAATCATCAATTAATTGAATGCAGTAAAACAGTCTGCCACCTCATTGCAGTGATAAAAAATGTCAGTCAGAGGAGATGGAGGACAAGTAATTAGTAGGAATGATGTCCGTAGATTAAGGCCTGTAAATAATGTAGGAAGTAACCGCATACATCAAAGTGAAAGCGCACAAAAAGTTTTAAAATGTTTTTACACGAACTC